GTTTATAAAAAAGTATGCAATAATAATCAAATTCAAAGTTTGAACTGCATTTAATAAACTATACATAAAACAAAATGCAACATAAATTTCATGTACTTCATTATATAGAGAAATCAGTATGATCTGCTAAAAATATCATATTACAAGGTGGTTCAAATATGACTGGGACTGATTTTTTTTTTTAAACCATAATTGCCAAACACTTACTTGCACATGTCAGTCTTCAACGTACTCCCCTCCAGAGTCAACACATTTTTTCCAATGTTCTGGAAGCATTCTGATGCCCTTTTAAAAAAAGGCTTGAGTTGGTGGCGTATCCACTCCCGAACAGTCTGGATGACGGCGTCGTTGTCCACAAACCGCTTGCCTTGCAAGTCTGATATGAGCCTTCCGAACAGGTAGAAATCACTTGGGGCCAAATCGGGACTGTACGGAGGATGTGTCAGAAGGTTCCATTTCAATTTCTGGAGGGTTTCCATTGTTGTTTTGGCCGTATGGGGGCGTACATTGTCTTGAAGGAGGGCTACCTGCTTTCCACCTGTCTTCCGCTTGGATCGGTTCTTTTCCTTCACGTCTGTTGCCAGGAGGTCTGAGTAGTAAGCTGCATTGACTGTTCTGGCATCTGTCAAAAAGTTGTAATAACATGGACCTAAAGTTAATTCAGCTCAGTCTTTTACAATCTTAAAAAATGTATACATTTATGTTTTGTTCATACATTTTATTCAACTGTAAAATATTTATTTAGTGTCAGTTTATAGGAATATCAGCAATCGGGTTATAGTACAATGCAAAGATCACTCCAGGAGATGTAAACAATGTAAATTTGTGGTTACTTCCTACAGTCAGGTTACACTGCAAAGCAAAGACTGCTGCAAAAGACAAAATACTGTACACCTGTAGCTAATTCAGAAATACTACTATATTGCTATGCAAGGGCCGCCCTTACACTTTGTAAGGTCGGCCGCACAGCAACTTTGTCAAACAAGCATCAAGACATGAGACAAAAGACGCAGTCTTGCTTCATTCATGATTGGTCAGCATCATTACTCAGACCAGTGTGAGGCAGTTTTCATCTCATTCGTTTCAACTGTGCTCCTTTCTTTGCGTCATGTTGCAGACATCGGGTCTTGACTGTTACATGTCGACACGTCACTGTGTGGCCTACCTAATGGTACAGCCATTTTCTGTTGGTACGGCAGAGCCTTGATACGTCAAGGTTTGCAAAGCAGAAGTTGTAAAATACACGTTAGCAACATTGCATATAATCATATTTAACAGACTGACGACTGCTCTATAAGGGCTAGCACAGCCAACCCTTTAATTACACAGTCAACAGCATAGTTTCACTAAACACCTAACTAGGATAAGTCTGGTTTTTCACATGCTACACATGCAATAGGAAAATACAGACTGCACTAACCCCAACCACAAACTGGAAAGTTCCCACGTCAGAGTACATAAGTAGTCGACTACACGAACAGTACTAAGATAGAAATGTAACAGCCATGAACTGCATGCCTCTGTGTGCACTGTGTAAGATTCTTATTCACTCTCTTCCACAGAACAAAGGAAAAATCCATCTTCTAGTATAAACTTGAACAAGAAAAAATGGGTAGAAAAATAGAAAAAATAACTAAATAAAGAAAAACTTGGTATAGTACAAACTTATATGTGTCAGTATGTAATGCCCATAAGTTATTTCTGAACAGCAACAATGTTCTAGCATAAATATGCATGAATCACATCCCCCTTCAGTATAACAAACCTCTAGACTTTCCTAATTCTTCTAAATAATTCAGTTCTAATAAGGAATCACTTTCTCTATGATCAGTCAATAAGAAATACGATTCATGTAACAATACTTTCAGTTTACTGCTGTATACAGCACAATTTCTGTAGCCAGTATTCAAGTCACATGAAAGTTTATGCAGCCACAGCAGTTTGAAAAACATACAAGAAATCAGAATTTCTAACAAAAAATTATACTCTATTTTAGTTTAATGTAAAACCAAAGTGCATTTTATTTTATAACAGAAGAGGTTATGACAACTGTGCCTATGACTTGAATATACATATGAGCGCACATACATATTGTGACATGTTGCGCAACGGAGGACTCCTACCTCCCCAGCGGCACGTGGCGGTAACGTAGCTCTCTCGTAATAGGCGAGTCATCACCCCTCCACTCTCCCCGCGGTGACGTGCCAAGCGGAGCCGAAGTGAGCCGAGCGGAGCCGAAGATAGCCGAGTCCCCGCAACCTTGTAGCTATGCAACGCGAGTCAACAGCGGTGACATCACCAAGGGGTAACAGCGTTGCTAGGCTATACGCCACGTCACAGTAGTGACGTGTCAGGCGACCCTAGCAACAGCGAACGGAATAAAAGCCGGCTGAGCAGCAAGCGAGAGTCAGAGTGTTATCAACGAGTTCTCAGTTGGCAAGTTACGAGTTGCAGATGCGTGTGCAATAACTAAGAAGTCAGCGAGCGGAAGAGTTATTGTGTGCTTTCAAGACTTAGTGAGTGATGTAGTACAGTTATATCTGGAGTGTGTAATTCAGGGAGACTTGTATAGCTCCCGCGTTATTAATACGTGAAGACTCCTGAAGATAGTGTGAAGAGATTTGGTTGTAGGGTTTGTAAAGTGTGGAAACCCGCAACTGTGTTATAATTAATTGTAGCCATGATTTGTAGGTTGTTAAATAAACCAATTAATGATCTCTATGGCGTATTCAGCAACGAAACACGTTACACTGGTGTCAGAAGTGGGATCACGATCTTAAACACGCCACATACGAACTGTTGTATATCGAATATTTTACTGCTACAAAATGGAGAAACAAGATTTGCAGCGAATATTCGAAATGCTGAAAGAGATGGAGGCAAATAGGAAGAAAGACAAAGAAGATTTCCTGGCGAAATTAGACGCTTACTCGAAAGCCTGGCAAGAAGAGGAAAAGCCGGCCACAGTGGACATGAAACCTGCGGCGGCCCAACAAGAAGAGGTCCCCGAAATAATACCAGTCAGAGAGACGATGGCCTGCCAAGAAATGGAGGCACGTCCAGAAGATGAAAAGCCGGCTTCAGTGCACAGGAAACCTGAGGCGGCAGAACTACATGAGGTACCCGTACAAGACGCCGAAGTAATGCCGGTCGGAGAACCGAAGAAGAGAAGGCGCAGGGACCGACATCGACGAAATATGAAGAATTCGACACAGGAAAATTGCGGACCCCAGAATAAATTGGCCGTCGTTCGCAGGAAGGTGTCCTGCCATGCCAGAGTGTCATGGCGTCGGGGAAACCTCTTCAGGAAATCTTGGACCCCGGATGAAGTTGGCTGCCATCTGCAGGAAGACATCCAGTCGTGCGACAGTGGCACGACGTTGGAGAAACGCCTTCAAGAAGGATATTCCCCTGGGAACCTTCGGATGCCTGCGGAAAGAAGGACCGCCAGCCGAGCAGGGACGGCAGAAGAACTGGACCAGAAACCAATCTACGAGAGGAACCCAGAAAGGATGGACTCCCAGATGGAAACAACTGGTGCGCCCGGAAGGCACCAAGGAAACCAAGAATTGAGACTTCGTGGACCAGCTATGGCTTGGAAGCAAGTGGGAATTTAACAAGACCCACGGGAGGACAAACGGATTGGAAATCGCAAAGCGAATTTTCACACCTGTCCCATTACAGAGGAGTAAAATCTGGACACTGTGGAGGGGGCGACCCCCTCCAAAACGAAAAAGACGCAGGGCACAGAAGAGGAGCCGGTAAAATAGAAGAACCGGCCTCCCCAGAGAGTGAATGTGCCATAGAATGGAAGTGATGGATGAATGGGATACAACTGGATATTCTGGTGAGCTGAAAGCAAACCGCTCCAGACGAGCTTTGTCTTAAGAGGGGAGCGGATGGATGTAACGGACGAAGAATAGTCGCTGAAAGAAGAGTAGCCCAAACATCAGGAGACACTGCAAGCCCAGCTACGGGACAGAAAAGGAACGGGGATGCACTGTTAGGCTATGCGAGACAAACAGCCTTAAGGAGGGAGCAGTGTGACATGTTGCGCAACGGAGGACTCCTACCTCTCCAGCGGCACGTGGCGGTAACGTAGCTCTCTCGTAATAGGCGAGTCATCACCCCTCCATTCTCCCTGCGGTGACGTGCCGAGCGGAGCCGAAAATAGCCGAGCCCCCGCAACCTTGTAGCTATGCAACGCGAGTCAACAGCGGTGATGTTACCAAGGGGTAACAGCGTTGCTAGGCTGTATGCCACGTCACAGTACTGATGTGGCGGGCGACCCTAGCAACAGCGAACGGAATAAAAGCCGGCTGAGCAGCAAGCGAGAGTCAGAGTGTTATCAACGAGTTCTCAGTTCGCAAGTTACGAGTTGCAGACGCGTGTGCGATAACTAAGAAGTCAGCGAGGGGAAGACTTATTGTGTGCTTTCAAGACTTAGTGAGTGCTGTAGTACAGTTATATCTGGAGTGTGTAATTCAGGGAGACTTGTATAGCTCCCGCGTTATTAATACGTGAAGACTCCTGAAGATAGTGTGAAGAGATTTGGTTGTAGGGTTTGTAAAGTGTGGAAATAAACCAATTAACGATCTCTACGGCATATTCAGTAACGTCAACACGTTACAATATATATTTTGAACCTACATCCTGAAGAATGTCACCTTAATTTTTAATGACAGGCAATGGATTATGTTATCCTAACTATCCAAACTGTTGTGACAGCCACGGAGGATCACATGCATGGCCAGCAAGATCCTGTGATTTAAACCCTTTGTACTGTCATCTCTGGGGCCATGAGGAGGGACTAGTGTATATACAAAGAACAAAGAGAAGAACAAAGAGAAGCACAATGCTTCAGAGAATTTTAGGTGATTTATATATCTGAAAAAATCTCCACATTTCTAAGAATGTAAACACTTCCATAATACACTGCACTGAAATGCACATTCAAGACACATTGAACAGTTTACAATATAGCAAGCTCAGATGTGCATTCAAGTCACAGGCAGACAATCTGAACAGTTTTGGCATCATGATTCATTATTGATATCACTTGTTTTTGTTTTGTATTGAAGTGATATTGAATTCTCTTATCAAAAACCACTATTTCTGGCACATTTTTTGACTTTAATACTGTCTTGGCTCCTTAATGTTTTGCAAACTGGACCCATGTTAATGGGACTTCTCTTAGCAAAAATCAATCAGTTGGTGGACTACACCTGAATATGTAAAACAAACTACCTTAACACAAAACTGGCTGCTGCTCTTTAAGTTTCTTTCAATACAAATGAAGAATTAATAATTTATATGCCTCTGGTTCAGGACATAAGAGTTTAAATTCAGAAATTACATGAAAAAACATGGTATGTTTTGAACAGTTCATCAAATTTCAGCCTGTTCTGAAATCTGGCTGTTCAAACAATACACAGAGGAGCTATACAGTAATGGAATCACAGCAAATTGTTTAGTCACATCACTTTATCTTAGTCTAAAATCAATGTGATAAACTTCAGTGTTCCACACAAATCTACCTGCGAAAAGCAAGATGGGTGTGAGGAGTAAAGTAAAGGTATCCCTGTAACAGACCGTGCAGGACCATAGGGTTGTAAGATGTTGAGGTTCCCACATTTTCTATACAATTAGCTCATAGATGGTGACAAGGTTGTCAGCCCTATGTTCCGGCTGCCCTTTACCCCCAAGAATATTCCTGGTACTCAATTCTGTTAGAGGCTGAGTTGACCCCAGGGCTATAGTGCGGCTGGAAGGGTTAGGTCAATGAAAAAAAATCCAATGACCTCATCAGGACTTCAACCTGTGACATTCTGGCTGTAACATAGTGCCTCAACTAACTATGCTACCATGAAATTAAAAATTCAACAAGAAAGAAATGAAATGTCGCCACTGTACAGTGCAAATTTCCCAAAGAAACAACCCCCACCAAAACACATAAACCCAATAACCAGGCATGAAAACTGAAATTCTGTTAGCTTACTTTTGACATCCTCTTGTGGCCGTACCATATTATTTTCTGGAACTGCATTAGATTGCAGTTGCTGACAAGCAAGCCGAGGATTCCTCGATTGTACACCAGGAGTGACAGCAGTTACTCCTTGTGTTGGAACTGGATGGCATCTGGTGCTTGATGATGATGATGATGATGATGATGTAGCTGAAGTACTGTTACATCATCACTGGGGAAATTAAATTAAATTAAATTCCACTGTTCCCTACAGAAACCTTAAATAGAGACTTCCTTGTATATAGTGTCTAAGGACAGGATGATTAGAAAATGATGAAACAGAAAGGATGTGTACATTTATGGTCAGCTGCAGAGGTACAAACAGCATTTTTCAAAGACATCCCTAATGTACAGTACTCTACTCCACAATGTTTGTCAGATGAAGCATACAGCTTCAAGAGTGAAGACAAATCAGATATAACAGATATACCTCTTAAAAATAAAATCTGTACAATTCATTTCAGCCTAATATTAACAGGCAGCAACTAACACCAAGTTGATGGCTACACACCCATCAGTGTCCAGAGAGTTTCTTGTGTTCACTTTATTCATTACTGGTGAATTATGCCCATACATAAAAGTATATTCTGACTTGTTTCCACAAGCAGTGATGTTACTAGCATATGTGAATGACTGTTCACTGCAACTTTTCAGAGCAAACAAACAATGTAAAAGTTTACCCTAGAACTGATTTTTAACATAATTCACAAAAATTTTCATTTAAAATTCATGATATCAAAAGGGATATGTAACACAATCTACTGTATTGTGAAAAAGAGGTTGTTTAGACAGAGTAAATATACTGGGGGTGGGGGGAGGATCTAGCAGAAAAAATCTTCTCATCTACATACCTGGCCTCTTCCCAAATTCTCACCTCAAATTGAAAAAGTCACTATCACACATGCCTAATGCAAACAAAAACACACAGGATAAAGGACTTACTACAGTAAGGTCCTTCAGACATAATTTAGTACTATTCTGTTTATTTACCTGACTAGTACTGGCAACTGGGGCAGGTACAGGCATGGACATTTGTGATTGAGTTGACACCAGTGGAGGTTCCATTGGTTTAGGTGCCGCATGAAGTTTAGCAGCTTCCTGCCCAGCAACTTGCACTGCTGGTCTCAGCTGATGCTGGAACACAAAACTGGGGCAGGTTGAGACCAGTGGAGGTTCCATTGGTTTAGGTGCCGCATGAAGTTTAGCAGCTTCCTGCCCAGCAACTTGCACTGCTGGTCTCAGCTGATGCTGGAACACAAAACTGGGGCAGGTTGAGACCAGTGGAGGTTCCATTGGTTTAGGTGCCGCATGAAGTTTAGCAGCTTCCTGCCCAGCAACTTGCACTGCTGGTCTCAGCTGATGCTGGAACACAAAAC